CTGGAATTACCTGTATGTTTACCGGTAATAAACTTGCACTGTTTTATGTATATGTTTGATTACATACAGCCTTGTGACAGTTTTCCTGCATGTCATAAGCATTTGAATATAAATTAAAATGTTAAAATCAAATCTGATATTGTTTTACCTTTTATTTGGTGTGTGGAAGGTGTGCGGAAGAGGGGGTAGTCTTATACGGCGAGTATATAACAAACTCTGTATTTTGAGTGGAAATGTTAGGGGGTCGTCTTATACGCCGGCAAATACGGTAATTGATCGTTTGGCCTTCATTTTTGTTTAGAAATGAATAGCAAATTATGTATTTGCCTCAGCAAAAGCCACAGAAGCCATGGCCAGGTTTAGTCAACAAAGGTCACTAATGGCTCAACCTTTTTTCAAGACTCTCATTTGCATGAAATGGAATGTATCTACCCTCCTTTTTAGTACAAGGTGCAACCGAAATATAAACGCATCTGTAGACATCTGTCTGCTTTGTTCAGCTTCTGAGTAGGAACTAGTAAGCGAGGATAGGTAAATGACCAGTAAGCATATGAAGCCATGCTCAATATCATTCCTCATCAGAGAAGTACAAAATAAAACAATGAAATCCCTTTACATACCTACCCCAGAATGGCTAAAAGTAAAATCAAACAAAAAACCTCATAACATAAAATGGGCAAGTATGCAGAGTCACCAGAATTTTATACGTTGCTAGTGGGAGTATAGATTGGTACAGGCATTTGGAGAGATAGTTCGGCAGGAAAAAGCTGAATTTATATGCACCTCATGACCACGCATCCTGCTTATGCAATTGTGAAGCAAAAGATGTAGCAGAATGGTTTCTAGCAACGTATTCATAATAGCCAAACACTGGAAACAAATAGGTGAATTTTGGTATATTCATTCTCACATTTGAACAGTACACAGGAATGAGGGAAAACCCTGCCACGCAATAATATTGATGAATCTGTAGATGTAATGTTGAGCAAAAGAAGCCAGACAGAAATAGAGCGCATCTCTGTGTTCCATTTACACACCTTAGCTCTCTCCAGTTCTTCCACAGCTGTACGCCTTTTCTGAAAAGAACTCCTTCGCTCTGTCATGAAGTTGTTCTTTTTATCAGTCTCCTTGTCTTCCTCACAGAGGTAGCTGAGGAGCTTGGGAGGGCCGCCGCCACCTCATCTGTCGTCCCCTACCTGCCCCGATTACCTATTCTTCCTTCCAAGACCCGGACACTGAAGAAACAGGTGGAGAACAAGGAGAATATCGAAGGGTCCCTAGATGCCACCGACAATTCTGCTTCCAGTTCAGCACCAGGTATGGGTCCCAAGGTAGGCAGAGTCATTCTGCCTTGTTTAAAGAACCAAGGGTTATGGGGCTTCTGTTCGTGCTTTCCTGCCCGTCTTCCCGAGGAAAGTGTGACTGGCGTCCATTTTACCTACGACTCTAGTCCTCAGCTCTGCGTTAGTGTTAGGAGTCCTGATCTGTCCACTTGCATGCAGCTGTGCCTCCCATTCCATTCCCTTAGCCCCGGATTCCCAGATGCTTAGCTTCTTTGCAGTTCTGACAAACACTTCTTTAGTGAGCCTGATGTTGAGGGCAGTTTGTAGGGTAGCTTTTGGAGAAAAGATGAAGGCCGAGGCAAACACCAGCAGGGTTTTCCTTTCCATTTACATCCCGTATCACATTTGGAATGCTGATTAATGTGAAAAGGCAACGTATGTATTAGTTTCCTCTGGGTCCGGCTATCATCTGGCATTTAATAGATGCTGACAACACTCTTACAGTTCAGCTTTAGTAACTCAAGTGTAACGGAGTGCCTGCTTGTCTTTCACTTTACTGATTGGCCGTTTCTCATCAGGGTTCATTAGAAGTGCACAGGTCCCCAGTGGGTCCCCAGCACTGCCTCGAAAACAAAGAGACAAGTCACCCAGCAGCCTCTTGGAAGATGCTAAAGAGACGTGCTTCACCAGGGATAGGAAGGGAGGCTTCTTCAGCTCCTTCATGAAAAAGAGAAATGCTCCCACCCCCCCCAAACGCAGCAGCTCCTTCCGAGAAATGGAGAATCAGCCCCACAAGAAATATGAACTCACGGGTAACTTCTCATCTGTTGCTTCTCTACAGCATGCTGATGGGTTCTCTTTCACTCCTGCCCAGCAAGAGGCGAATCTGGTGCCCCCCAAGTGCTATGGGGGGAGCTTTGCACAGAGGAACCTCTGTAATGACGACGGTGGCGGGGGTGGGGGCAGTGGCACTGCAGGGGGTGGGTGGTCTGGCATCACAGGCTTCTTTACACCACGTTTAATCAAAAAGACACTGGGCTTACGAGCAGGTAAACCCACAGCCAGTGATGACACTTCCAAGCCTTTTCCAAGGTCAAACTCTACATCTTCCATGTCCTCAGGGCTTCCAGAGCAGGATAGGATGGCAATGACCCTTCCCAGGAACTGCCAGAGGTCCAAAATCCAGCTGGAAAGGACAGTGTCCACCTCTTCTCAGCCAGAAGAGAGTGTGGACAGGGCCAATGACACACCTCCCAAAAAGTCAGAGGAAGGTGCTGCTCCAACCAGGGAGAGACCAAAAGCCAAACTTTTGCCCAGAGGAACCACAGCTCTTCCCCTAAGAACCCCCTCTGGGGATCCAGCCATTACAGAGAAGGACTGTCCAGGGGTGGGGGCAGCTGGAGTGGCAGCTGCCCCAAAGAGCAAGGAGAGGAATGGTGGGGCACGACTTGGCATGGCTGGAGTCCCAGAGGATGGTGAGCAGACAGGCTGGGCTTCTCCAGCCAAGGTTGCGGCCATCCTCCCCACCACTCACAACCACAAAGTGCCCGTCCTCATCTCCCCCACTCTGAAGCACACTCCAGCCGACGTGCAGCTCATTGGCACAGACTCTCAGGGGAACAAATTCAAGCTCTTATCTGAGCATCAGGTCACATCCTCTGGAGACAAAGACCGACCCCGACGGGTAAAACCAAAGTGTGCCCCACCCCCACCACCAGTGATGAGACTACTGCAGCATCCGTCCGTGTGCTCAGACCCCACGGAAGAGCCGGCGGCCCCGGCTGCCGGACAGCCCACATCAGAAACACAGGAAGGAGGGAAAAAGGCAGCTCCAGGGGCAGTGCCCACCAGTGGGAAAGCTGGGAGGCCTTTGGTGCCTCCACCTCAAGTGCCTCTGCCCACATCTTCCATCTCGCCAGCCAAAATGGCCAACGGCACAGCAGGTACTAAAGTGGCTCTGAGGAAAACCAAACAGGCAGCTGAGAAAATCTCCGCAGACAAAATCAGCAAAGAGGCCCTGCTGGAATGTGCTGATCTGCTGTCCAGTGCCATCTCAGAACCAGTGCCCAACAGCCAGCTGGTGGACACTGGGCACCAGCTGCTTGACTACTGCTCAGGCTACGTGGACTGCATCCCTCAAACTCGCAACAAGTTTGCCTTCAGAGAGGCCGTGAGCAAACTGGAACTCAGCCTGCAGGAGCTGCAGGTGTCTTCAGCCACCGCGGGCGTGCCTGGGGCAAATCCCGTCCTTAATAACTTACTATCGTGTGTACAGGAAATCAGCGATGTGGTGCAGAGGTAGCCACTGTCAGCCCGCTCCTACTGGAAGAGGCACATGTTCCCGAGGGGACGGGAAGGGACTTGTTTTCCTGTGTTCTTGTTTTCAAAAAATGAAGACTGATACTTGAGTGTGTTTATGTGAAGTACCTCAGCTCTCTGAGATCTCACGTTTACAGGTTCATCTCAAACATAACAAAAAGCAAAGCTCATAGGAGAGGGAAATGGGCGGGGGTGGGCAGGATTGGAAGCTGCACTGGATTATCAGGGAACGTGTGTACGTGGTGCCGTGAAGAACCAGATCCAGCCGCTCTGACCTGGAGTGGTGCGAGGTGGCGGACAGGCTGCTCTTGGCCGACGGGCCTGCCTGCGGCTCCTGTCTGTCCCGCACAGGGACCTGGCTAGGGCTCCGGGAGGTACTAACGACTGTATTCACCTCACCCAGGGAAGTCAGTGGGACAGAAGAAAGGAAAGCTGGGAAGGTGCTAAGTGAAGTTTCAGCCAAGGCTGTTAGAAGCAGCTATTAGCCTTGCTTCCCCAAGGTCACTTGCTGCAGCAAGAACCGCAAATCAAATTGCTAGAATGACACAATCGGGAAAGGTGACCCTGTCTGTTGCTCCTCTCCTGTTTTCCATTGGTGTGTTAATTGGAGCTGGAAGTAAAGAAATCTAGGAAGTACAGTCAGGGAGCTTGAAAGCTCCTAAAATCTCACATTGATCAGCACAAGTCACTTCTCCCAGTCTAGTGTGTGATTTCCTAACAGACCAGGGTTATATAGGTCTCTACTGGTTCTTCTCTGCCCCCTGCTGGGCAGGCTGTGTTCCTTAGTCCTGGCTCTTTCAGGCATTAACCAACATTGATTTTGAAGTTAGTGGTCATGGACAGGTTCTCACAGGGAATCCTTTTCTGATACAGTGCCCCTGCATACTGACATTCTAGTCAAGGACTTGGGAGCTGTGTATTTTGTTATCAACTAAATCTCCAAGAAAGGGGCTCTTCTTGGAACCCAACAGCCAGGCCCAGAGACCTGTGACTGAGGAGAGGCTGGTTTGGTCCTAGTGGCTGTTTCTCTGTACCTCTCCCTTCATCACCTTAGACCCAATCTGGGTAGAAAGTAGAGAGAAGCACACATACACTCTCTGGATTTCTAATGAATCACCCTAAATTATTCTCACATGCCTTTCTCCTTTCACAGTCCCCCCTCCATCGTTGTGCTTGTTTGTAAAGATCACATTGGGAATATTCTTTGATATTTATTTTAATATCATATTTTAAGAGTGTATAATTGAAGGAGCATGTCATTTTTAGGGAAAACCAATTAGATCCTGGAAATCTAATGACTTAACCCTCAAATATATTTTGCCTTTGAAAAATAGGCCTTTTCCTTCCCTACTCATTAATTAGCTTTCATTATTATGGAAGCTAATTAGGATCACTTGGAACTGAATCTAATCAGTAGATGTTATTAATATTCTCATTATCAGGTCTAATCCCAGTTACCACTTCATTCTGTTTTTAAAGCTTTGTGACTCCCTCCCCAAGGAGAACCCAATACAAAAAAAATAAATACATTATTTTTTTCCTTCCAAAGGAATATTAACTTAGGAAGATAGGAATTCAGCATTGGTGAGCAGTGAATTTTCTTCCTGCCTCTGTCATCGATCCACTGTCAAGCCACAGCCCCGTCTCTAAATCTGTTAAATGAAGGTAATGATACGTGTTCTCATGGGTGTTTCACAAATAAGGGCGTAGGTCTCCCTCTGAGAGCCTCCCTGCAGAGCTATTCAGCGCAGTGGTGTTATCTTGAATGGTTTTTTAGTCTCTTCTGTGCTCAGCAGCAAGTCATGAAATTTAGAGCTGTTGAGATTACATTAATTGGGCTAGAATACTAAAAGGGGAAAACTATGTTTTAGACAGAGTTTGACATCTTTGACCAAGGAGGACATTTAGTTTTCATCAGAAAGAAAGGAAACCTTGATTCTTACCATGGCTGCTCGAAAGGAGGCCCAGGCCGAGGGAAGGGTATGAAGGGAGGGGGCAGTCCTGGGCATTCCTTGCTGGGGTGGTGGTCTCTGTCTGACACCGGAAGATGCAACATTGGCAGCTAGTGATATGCTTAGTCTCCTTGCAGCGGTTGGAAGAGAAGCTCGAGTTCCTTTCAATGTGGATTTAAAGACCAACAGTCCCGCTCCTATCTCCTTCCTCGCCACTTCCCTTCATTATACACTTCCGTAAACTTGAAATCGTTTTAGCAATTAGCCTTTTAAGGGTGGGGCAGGGAAAGCTAAAACTTTAGACTATTTTATGCTGCTTTTTAAGTTTATCCTGTCATTATGGGATGCCAGTTGAGGGATTATAATTGTTTTTCAGGGGATTTCTTTTTTTTTCTAAGCAAGGGATCTTTCATCGAGAGCTCTGAGAATAAGCCTTGGGGGAACACTACTGAGTGTATTTAAGCTCCAGATTTCTCACCGAAATAGTCGTGAGGGTGGGGGCTGTGTCTTACTCAGGGGTGGCACCTGGCTCTATCTTGCCTACAGTAGGTGCTCAGTAAGTTAATGATTGAGTTTTTTCAACACTGTCAATAGTAACATTGACTTTCGCAGCACCCCCATCCACATGATGCTTGAACTGTGGAACTTCAGGAGTTGAGAGCTCAGGGTTAAGGGTTAAAGAGGCACTGTCAACTTACAAAAGTCTAATAGAGGTTTTTCCTTTTCCTACTTGAAAAGGACCAGATTTAAAAAATAACCGTATGTAAATTTAAAAGTTTGAATTCAAAGCAGAGAAAACTGCTTTTTAGAAATTAAAAATGTAGTTGAATTCTAATCGGTTTAAAAGCAAAGCAGAGAGCAGGAGCAAAAAGACATGTTGAAAACTTTCTAAAGTTACACACACACACACACACACACACACACCCCTATACCTTTGGGCTATGACAGTTTGAATCCTTTCATATACAGATAATACAATTTCAGCTTAGATTTCCTACCTTAAAATGCAATATTTTGTGTAGAATACATCTTTATTGTGCTTTACATGAAGTATTTTCTTAAATGGCTTTGTGTAAAATTAAAATGTGTGTATTTTCTATTGACTGCCCTCGTAATTTTCAGAGATATAGCCTTAAAAAAAATTCGCCCTAAGAAGTTCTTTCAGTGTTTTTCCAGGCGACTTCTGCACATTGAGGTCTTTATGTGGAGCCACTTGCCCAGCTGCATTTTGGGTTTTAAATTAGAATTTTCTTATCATTCAATTGAAAGTTGGCTAATAAAATAGTGCCCAGTTAATAACATATGCTCTGCTAAGGCATAGCCCATATTTATTTAAGGAGCGTCACGGAGCTTTTGAGTTGAGGCTAGAGTATAGTCAGTGATTAAGAGTTCAGACTGTAAAGCCAGTCAGAAGGCAAGTCATTTAATCGTCCTGAGCCTTAGTTTCCTCATTGGAAAACAGAGATAATAATAGTAACTACCTCAGGGTGCCATAAGGATTAAATGATAATATATGTAAGATGCTTAGCTTCAGTGCCTGGCACATACTGAGCACTCCATAAATGTTAATGACCACTATTATTACTAACAAACTTAGTCCAGTGACTCTCAGCCAGGAATGTGCAACAAAATCCTCTGCGTTTAAAAACAAAATAAAATCTGATGCATTGATCAGAATTCCCAGTGGGGTGAGGGCTCAGCCAGTGTGTTTTACAAGAACCCTGCCAGGTGTTTCCGACACTTGTCAGCATCCCGCTTTTTTCCTTATAGCTTAAGATTGGGAGAGAAGACAGTTACTCGCTGTGGATCTCAGCAGTTACTTAGTGGCAGAGCCAAGGCTACAGTTCACTCTCTTGATTTTCTGGTTGTGGGGTCCCTCCCCATTCCT